CATTAGCCAACCCCGCGCCTGACCCTTCAGGGCCATGGGGAAGAAATTCGCCATGACCCTGTCGTCACCCCCGGCGGCCTCGATCCCGGTCGTGTAGATCTGGAGAAACTCGGCGGGGTTGACGCTTCCGTCGTATTTTTCGGTGATGGTGGGCCGGAACCTTGGGGGCCAACGGACGTTCCAAAGGCTCGCCACAAAGGCTCGACAGCCGGCACCGCCAACCGGGGACACGGGGGGCCGGCCCCCGTGCCCGGACCGAAGTGGCGCTCCGGACGAGGAAGCGCCCTCCGTTGCGTGGGCGGCGCGACGAGTGCCGCGCCGGCGCTCGATATCGAGGCGGGCATCCAGCCCCCCACACACATCTTCTTGGGTTGGAGGCGTTGACGAGGGAATGGCGGACGAACGGCGGGTAGCGGCCGCCGCTCGCCGTGCCCTCCGCCTCGACGACATGGAGCCGGCGGCGGCAGCGCCAGAGGCCTCGGTGGCGGAGGACCGCCCGCCGGCGCCTAGGCGCTGCTGCGCCGTCATGACCAAGTCGGCCACGTCATCCAGCCAACGTCGGGCTGGAGTCTCTGGATCGGGGACGACGGGCGGGTGACGCAGGAGCGCGCCCGCAGCCTGGAGCGCGCCCTGGGGCGTGCCGCCATCGCCGTAGACGAGGCGGCGACGCGCCCCGTCTCGCCGTCCTCCCCAGTCGCCCGCGGGCGGCGAAGTCGCGGATCCTTCGACCTCTCCGAGCGCCTCCCCCCGCCCAAGATTTCGGCGAGAGGGGGACGGTGGGGTGCGAGCCCGACGGCGCGGGTTCTGCTCCCCGTCGTCACCGCTAGCGTTCGGAGAGAGGCTGTGCGCCACTGCCCGTTCGGTCATTGGGCTGAGCGGGAGAAGCTTGGCGCACACGAAAGAGGACGAGGGCTTAGAAAGACACGCGCGCCCCCTACCTGGCGCGCCAGATGACGGAGCGTGGGGCTCCTCACCGGGAGACCGCGCAGGCCCCCCTTTGCCGGTTCGGCCGGGGGCGCTAAGTGAGATTCTTCGCCCTCGATCTGAGGAACGTCAGCGAGAGAGGAAGTGCACAAGACACGGGCGACGTAGACAGGTTCGGGTCGCTGAGAAGCGTAACACCCTACTCCTGTGTTCTGGTGGATCTGTGCGTGAAGGAATACAGAGAGCCCGAGAGCGAGAGAGAGTTCAGGCTCTAGAACCCATTCGCCAGAGTCCCAACCCCCTTCCCTTCCCTTCCTTTCTTCTCTCTAGGCCTGGGCCTCCTTTTTATCTGGTCCGGGGTCACCACATGGGCCTCCTGCTGCCTAAGAAGGGAAACATGCTTTTTACAATGAGGGCTAGTCTACAGCCGGAAGTGACCTCTGACAAGCAGAGCACACGCCTCCTGCCCCGCTCGCCCGCTTTTCCGGTGGACGCCCATTTCAACCTTCATTTAATGGCCAGCGACTTCCTTGCCATACTTGCCCTGAAGCCTGGAATGGATCTGACCGGGACTGACATACCAACTCCAGGAGTTAGCACGCCAGCTCCGGCTAGGGACGAGAGCCAGGAAGCTCTCATCATTCCGACAGGACGGGGCGAGGCATGTGACAGGCCGCCTGTTGCCACCTAACCCGCGATCTGACCGGTCTGTGACCGGTCACACACCGCGACCGGTCACGGACCGGATAAGCGTGCGCTGCGCCGCATTAAATGCGGCGTGGCGCGCTCGTCCAACCTGCTATAAATGCGGTTAGGTGAGCCCGCTGTGCTCACCTAACCCACACACGTGGCGCCAAAACCACAGGGGGTCGGGGCGCCCCAGCCCTCGGGGCCAAAACGGGAGCGGCCCGATCCCTCGGGGAGACAGAGGGAGGGGTGGCCACGTCACCCTCGGGCCCGACCCCCCCGAGGGGGTCAGGCCACGTGGGTGACCGCGGCTACCCAAGCCTCTAGTCACGATACCCCCGGCCCCATGTCACCGACACAACGCTAAGAGACCACTATTGACAACCATTGTACATGCCTAAGTACTTCTACTGTTTCAAGTTATAAGACTTTTTAACATTGCACATATTCGTATAAATGTTAATGAATCTAGACATATATATATCTAGATTTATTAACATATATATGAATGTGGATAATACTAAAAAGTCTTATAATATAAAACAGAGGAATTAGATATATTACCAATTTGATGATTGAAAGCGGTTTGGGGGGCAGAGTAGGATTCCTGATTTTGACAGAGGTTGCATAAAAGCAGCGGAAAAAAAATCTCGATAGTCAGAAAGAGAGGTTATTAATATTTCATCCCTGTTGTGGTTAACTATCTTTCAGAAAAAAAGAAGAAGAACTGCTTGGGTTAACACAGAAGGGACATTATATAACAGCCGCATTATTGGATCGTTGCAAAGCTGTCGTTCTGCATGCACCTCATACTACTGCAACCGGGTCAATCATTTTGGCCACGGTTGCAGTGACAATTTTGTTTGCACTGTCAAGTGGCTCCGGAGACCACTAAACTAAACACATTTTTACAGTACATCCTGTGCATACCGTAAGTACGTTGTTTGTTGAGTCCGTCCTAAGCGAATCCGAACACCGGCGTTGGTTTCCCACCGTGTCAACGTCAGGAAATTGTTGCCGCTCTGGGGACTCGGCAACCGACGCCCTGCCAGTTTACGACATCCAAGAAGTCTCTAGAAAAAATATCGTCATCCCCGCGCGTCGTCGGTCGGTCTGCGGTGCCCGGGCCAGCAGCGAGCCAGCCGCAAAACCTCCTCTCGCGGAGCAAACCACCTAAAAAACCAGCGGCGGCCGGGTTCGCCCAGACGCCCACAGTGCGCGCGCGGAAAGCCAAACCACCGCGCGAGCACGCACCGTGGAGCGGAGCGCTCCATGCGGCGTCGCCTCGCGCGGCTGAGCAGACACGCACGCACGTACTAGGACGAGTAGCCTGTCGCCACTCGCCACCCGCTAGTCGCAACCGCCACGTCTGGCCACTGGCCACTGGCCTGGATTCTCACCTTGACAAACCACTTGGATACTTGATGCATGTCAGTTACTTCCACTCTCCCAGTGTACCGCTCCTGTCTAGGGCTGCTAGGCAATACGCGACCAGTAGCACACTAGCACTGGCCAGAAGCAATGTATTGCCACCGCTGCATGACCACCGCTTGTGCCCTGTACACTTGCTGATGCAGCGCAACGTTCCCCATGCGTTTCTGCTGCAGCGTGGCGAGCGAGCTGCTAGGTTCAGTAGTAGTGCTATCTTGGACGTCCACTAGTTTCTTACATGTCATCTAAATGATTATGAAAAAATCTTAAAAAAATTATAAGATACTTTAATATATAATATATCATTTCACAAACATGTAAGTTCAAATTCGACTTCTAAAAGTTGTAACAAAAATAACAAATTAAACTCTAACTAGTATATGTATATTTACAGTCAAATTTATTATTTTTGTTTCAACTTGTAAAAGTTGAATTTGAATTTACATGTTTGTGAGATGATATATTACATATTAACCTATCATGTCAATTTTTTTAAAAAATTTTCATAACTATTTAGATGACATGTAAGAAACGGGTAGACGTCCACCCGAGTGTTTAAAACACTTTCCCGTACTATCTTCTCTTTTGTAAAAGCGGTCCCAGGTAGAAGCTTGATCGATCCAAGTTTTACGTGGCGGAGAGGCGAGGTAGGCGCCACGGCGTTCACGGCGATCGAGAACCAAATCAACCCCGGGTAGCTCCGCTGCCGCAGTCGGTCGATCGATCGCGCGCGGTGCCATCCATGCATGCATGCATGGGCAGGCTCCTCTTGCCAGCTGCGCCGTCTGTGGCAGTGCGCCCTGCTCGTAACCGAGCCGACAGATCCTAGTGCGGGCAGGCGCCGCGGTGCGTGCCACTGCCACAAGACCAGAGAGACGTGGTGCACCCACGGGCCACACGCCGCCCGCCCCCGCCGCGCGCGCGTGCGCGTGCAGAGGCGGCAGCAGCTGCCTTCACGTGCACAACCGTGCCATGGCCGGGCCTCACCTCGCCGATGCATCCACCCTGCTCGCCTCGGTCGAGCGGCCGGCCGGGCCTGGCTCCGCTGCTCGTGCGCAGGCTGCGGCGTCGTTCGTCCGAGGACGTCCCATCAGTCCACGTCGAGACCACTTGGCGAGAGCTTGGATCAGCAAGGCACAAGTTTAATCTCGCAGCCGCACCCTGCTCCATTTTAAATTGATCGTGCCATTGTCGGTACGTACGGGTTTAAAACTGCGTCGTGACATAAGCAGATGGGAGTGAGTGAGCATTACGGTTCAGCGATGCATGGGTCGGGTCTGGAAGGGGACGTCGTTTCGATATATTTTTCCTGTGTGCAGCTTCAGCAGCAGCATGGGTGAAGCGATAGGGTCCTACATGGCCCTACATGATCTTATCCAGCTACAACGTTGTGAAAACAACGCCTTGCCATATGCCATGCATATTATCGGCTATCCATGTATAGCCGTGTTAACAAATAAATACTAATAGATCAATTATTGATGCTCTTCGGTTTGTGGAGACTCGCAGCCTCATATGTCACCTAATCTGTTTTAGCATCAACTTTAATTCTGATATGGGACCCTACAAAAGTCCGAACGTAGTGAATGAGTATATGTATTTCCAGGATTTTCCTTATATAATCACTGATATGATACATATCAGTATCTGCTAACTGTTCAGTAGGGTCGGCTTGCCGCTGCATCATTGGCAATGATGTTGCTAGCTAGTGTTGCACTATACTTAGGTGTCCCGCTCATCCAAAAGAACAATTCATCATTTTAGCTATTGCAGGAGAGGCAGTCGTTCATTTTCCATTTACACTCCTGTTGAATGACATCAATATATATACTATATGCATACAAAATTACTGGAAAAATGTGTGGTGTGACGGTATGAAAGATATTTTTTCTTTTCTCGAATTCTATAAATAAAATACTACTACTATAAGAATAAGTACCAGAGACTGGCAGTATGCATGCATGTCAACACAAGATTCTTTCTGAATTTCTTCGCTCTCTGCAATTTCGCACAAAACGGCATGTACAATTCTGCATACTACATACTACAGTGGTATAATACATACACTGTGCAGTAATGTGGAATTTCCCATACTCGAAGGGTAGAAAAAAAATACAGGATCGATCAGCTGATCAACCAACTCCAACCATCTCCAGGTGCCCTCAAAATTGTCACACCTTGATTGAACAAACCACCCACTCTTCCTGTCCTCTCTTGCATCTAGCCTTCTAGGACTAGGAATACTACCCAATTTCTTATCTTGTCCATGGCGAAAGAAAAAGAAATAAGAACAAAAGAGAATAAAGTAATTAGTACTACTAAGTACTCATTTTAAACCTACTGCACGTCTGCGCGGCGAGGCCAACCACCGGGAGTGATCAGCTAGCTCGCCGGTCAGTCCTCGAAGCCGGTCTTCTTCCAGACCGCGTCCCGGACCCGGCTGAGGTCGCGCCCCTTGAGCGTCCTCCCGATCCCCTCGTGCACCGACAGCGACGCCGCGCGGCCGCGCCACGCCAGCTCGTGCGGCGGTATCACCACGCCGCCGACGCCGGCCACCTTGCCGTACTCGTAGTCGTCGTCGCCGTCGCCCTGGAGCTCCCACTCCGCAGCAGCGGCCTGGTGATCCCTGTACTCGACCCCAAGAATCTTCTGCCAGTCCGGTATGTTCACCGGCAGCGAGCCGGCGGCCCGATCCAGCGGGGCCTTCCGGCCGGCGCGGGCGGACGGGATCGCGCGGCCCCGGGCGCCTAGCTCGGCGGGGCTGGACTCCACGCCGGCCGCGCCGTACGAGCCCCACACGTCCGACTCGTCGAACTCGTCCGCCCCGGGGCTTCCGGGGCACCTCGCCGCTGCGCCCCTGGACGGCGCGAACATCCGGTAGGCGTGCTTCGCTGCCGCCGACCTCGCGCTCCCAGCCATACGCCGCCGCCGCCGCCCGATCGATCGGTCTACGCTGCAGGGTAATATATAGGAGTAATTTGCTCCGCTTTACCGTGACGCCGCTCGCAACCACCGATCTTTACAGGAGGGGAGAGCGCGAGAATGTCGTGAGGAGAGTAATGGGTTTGGAGTTTGTGTGTGGCCTTGGACGTTTGGTTGTCCACGTTGGATTTTATAGGAGCGAGAGGTGAAGAACGGGAATACTGCGCCTCCGCGAGGTGAAGACTGAAGAGTGACGAGAGATAGCAGAAGCGGATAAGACTGTTTTTTGGAATGACGCTTCTGCCCTCCGGTGGTTCACGCTGCCACGGCTTCGTAGGCTTACAGCTATGCACCGGGGCACACCGTGGGCGCTTGTGTGGCCATGGGACACGTCGGTCTTGTACACGCTTGAACCGTGGCGAGTAAACATATTTTCCACCGGTGACGTGCCCGCGTCGAGACAAAATCGTACTACGACTACGAGTACGACCAGCTTCACGCTGGAAATGGACCATTTCACAGGGAGTAATAATTGGCCAAGGGCATTGGCGAGATTTCGCCAAGAGGAAAGGACCCAGGGACGCCGTCCTGAAATTTTCACAACTTGACCCTTTGCAAAAACCATTTTTACAAATGAACCACCGCCAAAACTTATTTCAAAATTGACTTTTCGTTGTCAGCGCCAAATCACCTGGCGCTGAATTTAGACACCTCAGCGCCATGTCAACTGGCGCTGAATGCCGTACCACCGTGGATGGGAGACTAAGTCAGCGTACCAACGTATATTTAGTGCCACGCTATTTGGCGCTGAGGTGTCTAAGTTCAGCGCCACACGATTTGGCGCTGAACAAAAGGGTTGTTTTTAAAATAAGTTTTAGCTGCGGTTTATTTGTAAAAATAGTTTTTGCAAAGGTCAAATTGTGAAAATTTTTGGACGCCGTCGCTGCACACACGATGGCAAACATGGCCCCCTCGGCTGGGTCGACGGGTCCGCGAAGGCGACACGTGGTCTCGCGCTTGGCTGTCTCCCCACGTTCGCTGCCGGTGGCCCCGTGCCCCCTCGTGGGCGCGTGAATTGCAGCTTACTGGCGAAGGGGCCCAACCGTGGGCCCGGCTGTTGGCTGGTAGAGGAGACTGGGCCGGTGGCCGGTTGAAACTTGAACGCAATGCAAATAGTGCAGTTCGAGTACTGCGGTAGTGTCCGGGTCAGGTACGGCACAGATTGATATACTACCGGACTACCGGACCGTAGTGCAGTTAACACCGGTCACAGCTTGACCGGGATGATCAGAAAATATTAGAGCCACAGGCAAAAGGTCGTTGGAACAAATCAATCTTATCCAACTGAGCTGTATAACTTCTCTTCAAGGCATGAATGCATAAGGGATGGGATCACAATGGTGTGTTGTTAATCGTCTTGCGTATCACCTAGAAACAACACTATCGTCTAACGAGTTGTTTCTACATTATTACAGCATATAAAAAGAGCCACCCTACAAACTGTGAGCGAAGAGATAATAGATACCACCTCCGTTTCAAACTATAACAGTACTTATTTTGTTTCGTCATGATAATGTTTTGAACAACAATTATTTTATTAAAATGTGATTTTTGACACAAATTAATTTTTATTATATTTATATTCAAAAGTAATTACTTTTGCCACAAAATTATATTCTAATGAAATAATGATTGATCAGAGTCTTGTCCCGATGAAACAAAATATACCTTATATTTTGAGATAGATGGAGTAGTAGTACAATACAAGAAGAGATATATGCCCCATCTGTTGTATGGGTTATTTGGCTCGTCTCTTCACCAAGGGCCAATGGCTCTATTTTCTTTGGTACACATTAGAAAAAATATCTATACAACATTACATAAGGACGACATAGTAATTGTTGTTACACACTCGACGACATAGTAATTGTTGTTACACACTCAACAACATATTAACAATTTATTTATTGAAAATGTCTCAGCTATTTACGCCATTTATTGATTGTATTTAAAAACCATATATTGTTAGTTGTTTTAACCTTTAGATGGTTGTTCTTTGGTGTAGGTTGTACAGAGTCACAAATGTAATACACCAAGCAACGAAGCAAATATACCACACCTAGGTTATTCATCTTGTTTCACGCATGATCAGTCTACCTCTCTGCAAGAAAAAAATGCTAAAACTATTAACAAGAACAATTATGATACCTCTATCTAGTCAGGATTAGGATACCTCATACTAAATCACTAATACGTATTGTTTGGATCAATGAGAACACATAGCATTTTCATACTACAGTGTAAAGCCTAGTGATAGGGTGTGATATCCATACCCTTGTAGATGAGAGCTCACTGGGAGCTATAGGATGGTGGACTGCGATAGGCAAACAACCAAAAGTAAAATAGGGTAGCTAAATTTAGCAATATTTTTGGTTGGTAGTGTAGGGAAGAAAAATGATCTGTTCAAGTATAGCCAAGCAGTCAAATTCACCCACTATTTATGCATGTTATATAACATTATTATTTTTGTAGTTGAAAAATTAGCTACAGTTCAAGTAGGAGTACATTTTTATTCAACTGTAGCATTGTGTAATTTTTTTTTGACGCAAACATTGTGTAAATTTTTACACCATGAAACACAAATCTGCCAATGAGTGATCACGGTCGACTGTGCATCGGTGTGTGATGCCCCTGGAGGCTTGGACGTTGTCGCCCGCTGTACCACACTACTATCGTCGATCGCACGCGCTGTAGCTGTCGTGGTGCATGTATGCTGAACTGTACTGCTACCCACGAGCGGGCCGCGCGCGGGTACGTGGCGTGCGGGCAGTGGCCCGGTCCACGTGGGCGCTGCCCTGGACGCACGTAAGGTAGGGCGCATCTGTACCCGATCCAAAATTAAAGACGCCCCTCGGTCGCCCCCGGCTAAGTTTTAATTCCGACCCGAACTGTCTCTACAAAACACAACACGTCTCTACCAGTACACTCGTGGAGAAACCACATTTTATCGGTCGGCCGAATTCCACAATAGTCCTGGTTACAATAAAAACCGACCTAGTCCCGGTTCAAATACTGTCAGGGCCTATTAGCCCCCTCGGGATTTTTAGTCCCGTTCATAACACCAACCAGGACTAAAGTCCCACCCCTATATATGTCTTCTTCCTCCTCCAGCTGCTCGAGCAAGCTTCAAAATTTCTTCAAAAAAGAGGGGAGGTCATGCCAAAATTTCTATTGAATTTATTTTGGTGATTATATACAAATCGGAGGTGCCTAAATGGTTAGCAACTTCATCCTCCAATGTTTTTTTGTCATATTACATTTGGAGCTATGTTTTGCACACTTTTTTTTCTCCAAAATTTAGTTGTAAGTTGATGAGAGAGAAAATTTATGTGGGGAAGAAAGAATATATATATAGAAATTTAGTTTATTTGCTAAATAAGGTTTTATAAAATAGTTGAGAAGAAAAATATAGTGAAAGTTAATCTTAAATAATAGAAAACAAACTAAAATGAAAATTAAAAGAAGTACAACACATTAATATTAGTTTAAAACTTTAGAAATAGTAAATAAGAATTATTTGGTGTAATATTTTATAATTTTTGTATGAATAATGATATGTCATTATTGTATGACTGTCATTATTGTAAGAATAATTATTTGTGTACGATTTTTTTTCATCTTATGTAGATGGATCGGCAATGGATGTACGCTGACCGGCGGTCCAAAGAGTTTATTGACGTCGTGCATTATTTTTTTAGAGTGGCCGAAGCAAACAGGCATAAGGGTTTTATTTATTGTCCATGCAATAAGTGTAAGAATCAGAAGGAGTATTCTGCATCCAGGACTATTCATTTCCACTTGTTTGAGTTAGGGTTCATGCCAAGCTATAACTGTTAGACATCCCACGGAAAGCAAGGGGTTGAAATGGAAGAAGATGAAGTGGAAGATGACAATATTCTGGATTTGAAGGAAATCAAACGGGCGAGGAGGAAAGGGATGCTGATGGTAACGACGTTGCGGATGATCTTGGTCAGATGTTGCAGGACGCCAAGGAGGACTGCGAAAGTGAAAAGGGGGCCCATAAATTGGACAAGTTGTTAGAGGACCACGGAACGTCGTTGTACCCAGGTTGCAAGCAGGGGCACAAAAAGTTAGATACCACTCTGGAGTTCTTGCAATGGAAGGCAAAAAATGGTGTTAGTGACAAGGCATTTGGCGATTTATTGAAACTCGTCAAGAACATTCTTCCGGAGGGAAACAAATTGCCCGAGACAACGTACGAGGCTAAGAAGATAGACTGCCCTCTAGGACTGGAAGTTCAGAAGATTCACGCATGTTCGAATGATTGTATCCTATATCGCGGTGAGGAGTACGAGAACCTAGAAGCATGCCCTGTTTGCAAAGCACTACGATACAAGATTAGACGAGACGATACAGGAGAGGTTGACGGGCAGCTAACAAAGAAGAGAATTCCTGCTAAGGTGATATGGTATTTCCCTATAATACCACGGCTAAGGCGTTTGTTCAGAAACAAGGGGAATGCTAGAATGATGCGATGGCACGCTGAAGAGCGTCAACAGGACGGGATGCTGAGACACCCCGCCGATGGTTCGCAGTGGCGAAACATCGACAGAAAATTTAAAAACTTTGGAAAGGACGCACGAAACATACGGTTTGGTTTAAGTACGAATGGCATGAATCCTTTTGGACAGATGAGCAGCGGCCATAGCACTTGGCCCGTTACGATGTGTATCTACAACCTCCCCCCTGGCTATGCATGAAGAGGAAGTACATAATGATACCGATTATTATTCAAGGCCCCAAGCAACCTGGTAACGACATCGATGTGTACCTAAGACCACTGGTCGAAGATCTTAAACTGTTGTGGAAAAAGGAAGGTGTCACCGTGTGGGACGAGGACAAACAGGAGGAGTTTAGCCTACGAGCGCTGCTGTTCGTAACCATCAACGATTGGCCTGCACTTAGCAACCTTTCCGGTCAGTCCAACAAGGGGTACAAGGCTTGCACTCACTGTATGCATGAAACAGAAAGTACATATCTTAAGCACTGTAGGAAGGTTGTGTACATGGGTCATCGTCGATTACTTGCTGCAAACCACCCGGTACGGAAGAAAGGCAAGCACTTTGAACATAAGACGGACCACCGTACGAAGCCTAAACATCGCAGCGGAAAAACAGTGTTTGCTATGGTTAAAGATCTTAAAGTAG